CTGAGCCCAGCTGCATTTTCCTTGTACTTCTGTGTCCTGTCTCTTTATTTCTCAGATCCTGTGCCTCAGCGCAACACAAGGCATACCCCACAACCCTGTGGGCCCCTCAGCCCTACACAAGATAATGGTGATGGTGATTTGATGATGTTGATGGTGATGGTGGTGATGGTGATGGTGATGATGAATTTGATGCTGATGCTGCTCATGATGGTGATCATGATGGTGTTAACGAAGGTGTTGATCATGATGGTGATGGTGAAGATGGTGGTAATAGGGATATTGATGATGTTGACTATGATGTTGGTAGAGTTAATGTTGATGATGACAGCAATGGTAGTGATTATGTGGAGCCTCCTTCTTACCATAAAATTACATATTGAGATCTTACTCTTCTTTGGTCATTCTTCATGGAAGAAGATTGAGGAGTAGAGGCATTGTAGGCAGGTCAGGACCTCACATAATTTAACAACACAGACAAATGAAGAAAGTGAGGGTCATGAGGGGGTTTGCCCCATGAAGGTAGGCTCTACCTAGGTTTGCTCGTTACTTGGTGCCAGAAAGCAGGAATTGTAAGAGAAGGGGGTGAAAGGTGATGGTATCTGCAGAACCGGCCCTGGTTTTACCTCTTCCTAGATCCAGGCATCCATTCCCACAGTTGTGTTGTTACTTTAAGCATTGATCAAGACCCTGATCCACTGAACTGTCCGAAGTACCTCTACTCTTCAGTTTCTCTTAGCCATGCACATGTGGCCAAAGGAAAGTAAGATCTTAAGATGTAGATTTAGAAGATGGGAGTGGAAAGAGGAAGAGATTTAAGGTAGCGTGACTCAGCTATCCACTTCTATTTTTTGAAGTAGGAGGAAGGAAGGGAGGAAAAGGAGAGAGGAACACACGAGAGAGTTCTGTTGCTGCCTTTCACAGTAGAGCGATGCTGCCCATACGTAATCTCAGCCATATAGCTAACATCTACCATGGTGTGGGAGATTAGGACTAAAAACGTTTTAGAAAAATGTACAGCCCCCGGGACAGTAAGTAGTATCCAGCTCCAGTGGGGAAAACATACATATTGGAGTCCCGCAGAGCTAATTCCGTTTTAGCTGTGGGCTTCGAGTAATTATTTAGTCTCTTTGCATCTCCATTTGTCTATCAGTAGAACAGGGATAATACGTGTCTCACGGGATTACAGAAGATTGAATGAAATAAAGTATGTGAAGCACTGTGTTAGTGTCCTCAGGCTGCTATAACAAATCTCCACACGCTTGGTACCTTAAAACAACAGCAATTTACTTTCTCACAGTCCTGCAGGCTGGAAGTCCGAAATTAAGGTGTTGGCAGGCAAGACCACACTCCTTCTAAAGACTCTGGACAAGCATCTTTCTTTGCCTCTTCTTAGCTTCTGTTGGCTGCAGAGATCCTTGGCATTCCTTGGCTTATGGCTGTGTCACTCAGTATCTGCTCCATCTTGACATGGCCCTCTTCTCTGTGTGTGTCTACAAATCTTCCTCTCCTCATGAGGACAGTCATTGGATTTGGGACTCACCATGACCCAATATGACCTCATCTTAACTTGACTACATTGACAAAGACTCAATTTCTAAATCAGGTCACATTCGTAGGTATTGGGATTCGGACTTCAACATATCTTTTTAGAGGGCACAACTCAACTCAACTCACATTTGTCTGTCCCAGAGATTGGTGTTTTGCAGGTAATCACAATTGTTAATCCTCTTTAAATCCCATTCCTTCTTCTCAAAGATGAAACAAGTTGTTGCTTTCTTAGAAGGAAAAGGGGATTAACAATTTTGAAAACAGATTGCTGATCTTTAGCTACAGTGTTCTTTTACAGACAGATTTTTCAGTTTCCTTTCTATCAATATTGTGACATCACCTCCATGCAGTTCTATTCATGTTTTTCCAGTTTATTGATTTTTTTTTTCTCGTCTAGCGGGTACACAGTCAGGGCTCAGGAAGCAGAGGGACATTTCCAGAGCAAATGGAGTACTTAGATTTCATTTTGGTGGTAATCAAAATTCAAGATTTAGGATCGGGGGATGTTAGAGCAGGAAAACGGAATTGGTTCTCTGTCAGTCTCTTATAAGAGCCTTCGTGGACAGAGTCTGATTTCTCAAAGGTGAGTTATCAGTGGCATCACACTTTGATTGAGGTTTCAATAAACATTTGAACTGAAGCTCCTGTTTCTGACCTAACTTAGCTTTGACAGTCTAGAAGGTCAGGGTGACCTCATTGGTCGGTCAGAAAAAAATGTACCCTTGACTACAGTCTGCATTGTGGCTGCAAAAAATCAGGAATAGGCTAGTTGTCTGCTACCCTCCAAAGAATACATCAGTGTCCCATGGTCTGGAGCCATTTTGAATTAAACTAATTGTCACAGGTTTGCTTTTCTGGAGAAAGATGCTGATGCAGAGTTTGGGGTATAATATGCTTACCATTGTACAGAGAAGAGTCAGCATATCCAACTGGAGCCTGCCATCCTTAGAAAGGATCTGGGCTGGTGTCTGTGAACTTGGATTTCAGGATTCCCATCTTAAAACTGATAAGAGTGGCTCCCTGTACCTAAAGTGTTTTTCTTTCTCATATAGTATAGTTTATACTGATTACCTGCTGTTTTTCTTTTTTTTTTTGAGACGGAGTTTTGCTCTTGTTACCCAGGCTGGAGTGCAATGGCGCGATCTCGGCTCACCGCAACCTCCGCCTCCTGGGTTCAGGCAATTCTCCTGCCTCAGCCTCCTGAGTAGCTGGGATTACAGGCACGCACCACTATGCCCAGCTTATTTTTTATATTTTTAGTAGAGATGGGGTTTCACCATGTTGACCAGGATAGTCTTGATCTCTTGACCTCATGATCCACCCGCCTCTGCCTCCCAAAATGCTGGGATTATAGGCGTGAGTCCCTGCGCCTGGCTGTTTTTCTTGGAGTATGAAATTTTGGTACATGCCAGGCATAGGGTGCCTACGTGATCAGCCTTGAATAAAAACCCTGGACACTGAGTCCCTAATGAGCTTCCTGGCAGCCAACATTTCACATGAGTTGTCACGGTGCCTTGCTGGGGGAATTCAGCATGTCTTGTGGCTCCACTGGAGTCTGGAAGCATATACCTGGTTTTTCTTGGACTTTACTCCATTCTTCCCATTTCTGACTTTGCTTTGTGTCTTTTTGCTGTAATAAATCACACTTGTGAGTGTGATTGTATGCAGGCAGCCTTGGGGACCCTTGGTACAATCAAAACCCCCTATGAAAGGAAGAAGAAAGGAGCAGGATTGAAAAGAGGAAGAAGTCAAGTTATGACTTGGATTGAAAGGGCTCAACAGTCTGGGTGATTTTCATCTGTAGACTTTCCTTACATTTTATATAATCATCATAATAGTAATAATAATTACTATCATTGTATCCTATTACACAAGTAATACATGTCCATTGTGGAAATATTCGAAAACAAGCATAAAGAAGGTGAAAAACCCTCATGAAGAAATTATGTTCAAATCAAATTCTACAGGATTTTCCTTATAATTTACACATGTATATGTATGTATATCTATATCATTTTTATTTTAGTGAAATGGAGATTATACTGTGTATTTTTTGCAAAGTTACATTAATATATAAGCCTTTTTATATATTAGTAGAAATGCATTCAAAAATCTTCTTTTAAGTGGTAAGATATTCAGAACTATCGGGAAAAAGGGAAAATCTTAAAAGCACCCAGAAAGCAAAAACAGATCCTTCTAAAAGGTTATCAGGTACACTTCTGTCAGAAGACAGTGGAGTGGCACCATCAACATTCTGAGGGAAAGTGATTTTGAACCTTGAGTTATATACCCAGCCATACTATCAATCAAATTGAGGGCCAAATGACAGCATTGCCAGATGTGAGAAAAGAACATCTTCTCTAAACAAACTTACTTGAGAATAAGTAGATACTTAGGATACTTCATCAAAATAAAAAAGAATTAGCCGGGCACGGTGGCTCAAGCCTGTAATCCCAGCACTTTGGGAGGCTGAGGCGGGTGGATCACAAGGTCAAGAGATTGAGACCATCCTGGTCAACAAGGTGAAACCCCATCTCTACTAAAAATACAAAAAATTAGCTGGGGATAGTGGCGCATGCCTGTAATCCCAGCTACTTGGGAGGCTGAGGCAGGAGAATTGCCTGAACCCAGGAGGCGGAGGTTGCGGTGAGCCGAGATCACGCCATTGCACTCCAGTCTGGGTAACAAGAGCGAAACTCCTTCTCAAAAAATAAAAAAGGGGGGAACATATGCAGGGCCAATATTTAGTGACACAGGATTGGATCCAGTTACTTTACTCTGCAGTGAGCAACATTTGCCTAATCATAGTAATATTGTCTTTTACAATTTGTAGTTGCTGGAATTAACCTGTAAACAATCATCAGGACTGAATTCTGGTTGCAGAACAAAATATATATGTTATAAACCTAATCAATCTGGAAGGCAGAAATGGAGAAGGAGGGGTGGGGGCAAATGTGGGGCACTAATCTCACTAGTCAGAAGATGAGATTTTCTCTAAATGTAATGCCGTTAAAATTGGGGTTTCATTATTTAATGTGAAGTTACAGAGTGTAGCAGGAAGGTGAGGGTGCCATGGGTTCTTTCTCTGCCTCTGCAGAATTCTGCCCCTGATTCTCAGAAAATGTCACGGATCCCTAGTGCTTCCTTCAGATTGTCACGTATTTGATTTGGGAACTTAACTTTCTTGAGTGTCTGTGATGTGCTAGGCTTGGGGTTGGATGGCCCTACTGTGTGCAAATCACCATGTGTCAGCTCTTTGACAGGCTTGTCATCCCTGAGGAAACTCAGGCTCACAGGGGACCATTGAGGGCCTCCAGCCAGTAGCTGGCAGAGCAGGACTCAAATGCAAGTGAGGGTCCTGGCTCCCTGCTTGGTGTCTCTGACACTCAATCACCTGTGTGGCCTAGGAGACATGCAGTCTGACCACACGTGCTCTCCTCCTGTCCCCGCAGGTTCTGCCAAACCATGGCCTCCACGCTGCGGGGTTCTTCTCCGCCTTCCTTGTCTCCCTTGTGCTGACCTGGGCTGCCCTCTTCCTCATGGTTCGCTATCAGTGTCTGAAGGGAAACCTGCTCACCAGACGTCGGGTGAGTCTTCCCTGAGGGTGGTTTGGAAGGTGGGGGTGGTTAAGGTTGAAGTTCATCCTCCAGTTCTGTGGATCTCAGCCCTAGATCTCCATCAGCATCACTGAGGGGACTGTGCACAAAAACCCATGTCCAGGGCCTGCCTCCAAAACTGATGCGTTTGTCCTGGGATGCATCCCCATCATTCTTTTTTTTTTCCTTAAGATCCGGGGTGTCACTGTGCTGCCCAGGCTGAGTGCAGTGGCTATTCATAAGCATGATAAAAAACACTACAACTTGGGACTCCTGGGCTTTAGCAATCCTCCTGCCTCAGCCTTCCAAGCAGTTGGGACTGTAGCTATGCACCAATATGCCCGACTTTTAGTCAATTTTAAAACTTCCCCCAGTGTTTTTTGAGATGGAGTTTGCTCTGTCGCCAGGCAGGAGTTCAGTGGCATGATCTCAGCTCACTACAGTCTCTGCCTTCTGGGTTCAAGCAATTCTCCTACCTCAGCCTCCCTAGTATCTGGGATTACAGGCGGGCACCACCACACCCAGCTAGTTTTTGTGTTTTTAGTAGGGACCGGGTTTCACCCCCTAGGCTAGGATGTTGGCTAGGATGATCTCGATCTCTTGACCTTGTGATCTGCCCACCTTGGCCTCCCAAAGTGCTGGAATTACAGGTGTGAGCCACTGCGCCTGACCAAAACTTCCCCCAATGATTCTAACCACCAGGCAGGTGGGAGAACTCCTGTAGCTATTACCTGGTACACAGTCTGTCACCCCCATGCAGCCTGTCACCCCCATGCAGCCCGCTGCCTCATTTGCAGCCCATGACCCCGCTCACGTTGGCTGCTTTGTATTCATGCTGCACCACATGCAGGTCTCATTCTGCAGTCCCCGTGGAAGAGCTTTGGGAGACTCCCGGTTATCCTCAGAGTGAAGCCCAGACCCTTGAGCCTGGATTTTGAAGCCGCCCTAGACTGGCTTCCAGCTGCTCCCCCTGCCAGGTCCCGTCTCACACCCCGGTTTCCCACTGTACCCAGTGACCCAGCTTCCCTGAGGGCGCTGAGCTCCTCGTACGCACACCTGAGCATTTTCCCATCCTCTTTCCTTCTCAGTTAGGGCAATTCTTACCCATCCTTTGAGCCTCAATTTGGCCAATGCCTCTGCCTGCAAGGCGCGGCAGGCCACTTCCCATAGGGTAGGGCCCTCTCTAAGGTCCTCCACTTGGCTCCATGGGGCACCTGTTGTCATCTGTTGGACCGGACGGGGAGCTTCTCCACCTCTGCATTCCTGTCTGAGGGTGGGTTCCCTCAAAGTACAACCTGAGACTGAAATTCCAATCCAAGTAGTTTATGTGTAAAGTGATGCCAGGACATAAGGGGAGGGGTGGAAAGCGGGGCAGAAAGGGAAGGTGGCTGGTAAAGGGTGTGTTTCATCAGGGACCTCTGTGTGGCCTGGGGCTTAGTCCTGCCCAGGGGCTCTGGAGATGGAGCAGAAGCAGCCACAGCATCGCTGTACCCAGGGGTGAAAGGGCTGGGAGAGATGTCCCCTACGTTATTGGTTGGTGACAGAGAGGCAGAAAGGCAAGAAGGAAGGAGACATGCTCCTGGCATGGCATCTGAGGCCAGCAGAATCATTCAGGGAAGGAGTAGGGGCATTAGCTGGTGGGTCGTGGGCTGGTGGGCACTGCAGTGCTCAAGGCAGGGGACATGGCAAAGAACCAGCCATGCCAGGGGCCCTACAGTGACTCATTGTCACCCAGAGGGGCAACACCCTGGCAGGAACATTATCATCTTTGTCCCTCACTTTAGATCATAAACACTGAGGTCCATGAGGTTAAATAACTTGCTTAATGTGACCAGGCACAAGCTAGGACCTGGCTTCTGGGGACTCCCTCTCTCTCCTCTCTGGAGGCTGGAAATTCCACCCCAGCCTGGGTGAGGGGCCTGTTCATTTTGTGCCTGCTTCCTGGAGGACAGGATTGTCATTTCAAAATGAGGTCAGCCCACAATCTCCTTGGCAGGCAAAAGTGCGAAGAAAAACGACCTATCTAATCACACCTCTCCCAAAGCTGTTATCAGTCAGAAGAACTAAATGCACCCTGCTGCTCTGATGTCAGAGCAGGATTCATTTCCCAGAGATTAAGGCAGATCATTAGAACTGCACAGAAGAAAAAGCAAGGGTGTGAATTTGATTTAAGGCCTGAAGACCCTTTTTTCCTGGCATCACAGAATGAACTCTTTTCATGTTTTTCTTTTTTTTTTTTTTTTTTTTTGCCGGCATGGTGGCGGTCATGCTCTGAAGCAGAAGGCAGCCTTCAGAGTTGGATTGGGATCAAAAATCAGCTGGGCTCTTTTGAGCTGTGTGACCTTCAATAACATAATTCCCCTTCTCTGAGCCTCAGTTTTCCCATTTGTAATGGGAAGCAATGGGGGCACCATTACTTCCTTGTTGTAACGGCTTCATGATAACACATAGAAAGCGCTGAAAATCATCCCTGCCACAGGGACAAGAATTGGTAAAGGTTAGCTATAGCTGTCATGCATTTTTGCAGAGTTAATGATATTGGGGACAAAGCAGATATATCTCCTATCCAATCAGAGGGTTGGACTTAGGTATCTTAATGTCACTTCCAGCTCACAATCCTATTTTCTCCTTCCTTCCTTCCCTCCTTCCTTCCTTCCTTTCCTTTCCTTTCCTTTCCCTCCCTCCCTCCCTCCCTCCCTCCCTCCCTCCCTCCCTCCCTCCCTCCCTTTCTCCCTCCCTTCCTTCCTTCCTTCCTTCCCACAGAGTCTCTGTCACCCAGGCTGGAATGTACTGGCACAATTGCAGCTCACTGCAACCTCTGCCTACCAGGTTCAAGCAGTTCTCCTGTCTCGGCCTCCTGAGTAGCTGGGATTACAAGTGCCCGCCACCATACCTGGCTAATTTTTGTAGTTTTATTAGAGATGGAGTTTCACCATGTTGGCTAGGCTGGTCTTGAACTCCTGGCCTCAAGTGATCCGCCTACCTCAGTCTCCCAAAGTGCTAGGATTACAGGCATGAGCTACCACGCTGAGCCCAATCCTCTGTTCTGATTAGAAACCAACCAGATTTCCGATTTCAAGGCCCACCATATCCATTGTGAGGTTTCCTCTACCTAATAGTGATAAAGATGATGATAGTGAAACCTCTTTATGGGTCTTACAGGTTGAAAAGGTCTTTCTGTCCATTGTTCCACCTTACCCACACAACATCAGCATGCAGGGCTGCTGGAATTGTGATCCCATTTCTTTGTGGAGAAAATGGAGGCTCAGGGATGTCGGCAAAAGTTCGTCAGGGTTTACCGTGGTCACAGTGGTGGGGCTGATTGATGGGGGCTCTGACTGCAGACCCTTAGCCTTTCCTCCTGGCTTTCCCAGCACATGGAACTCACAAGAAGGCCCACTCAATTAGTATTTCTGCAATTCTCCTGAAGGTCTGGCGGCACGAGAGCAAGCTGGAACCCTTGCCGTTCACGTCAGCTGACGGCGTGAATGAGGACCTTTCCCTTAATGACCAAATGATAGACATTCTGTCTTCCGAGGACCCTGGGAGCATGCTGCAAGCGTTGGAAGAGTAAGAATCCTAAATCCCATTATACTTCCATAGCTGTGACCAATGCTTTATAACACTGACGTAAGAGCAAACACTGAGTATATTTTGTTCACTCAGTTAATCATCCCCCCTCTGTCGTCATAATTCAACAACTGCTATGCACGGAACGTTTTGGCATCTAGGAAAAGAGGTGTAGAAGACATACTTCCTGCTTCCAGGAAATCTGATCTGGTGGGGAAGACCCAACCGTAAACGGAAGTGACCGCAGAATTGGGTGACAACCGTGCTAATGGGAGTATCAGGGCTGGCAGAGCTCAGAAGAGGAAGTAGGTACTTCTGAGAGTCGCAGAAATGCTTCCTCTGGAGGTGGCGTTGAAGTCACCATTTTAATTTTTAAATTTATTTTTAACTTCTTTGTTATGTAGGGATATGTGTGTAGGTTTGTTATGTAGGTAAACTCATGTCACAAGCGTTTGTTGTGCAGATTATTTCATCACCCAGGTATTAAGTCCAGTCCTCATTAGTTAAGAGAGAGAATCTGAACTGGTTCTGAAAGCTTATGAAGAAGCGTTCCAAGTTGATTAAGCGAGGAAACAATTTTCAGATGGAGGAAAGAAAGGGCAGATGGAAGCCTTTGAAAGGAGCAAGATGCATTTGGTGAGATGTCAGCAGCTAAGCGTGGCTGATGTGCAGATTGGGGTACTAACATAGAAAATAAAGAAGAGGCAGAGGGAGAGAGGCCAGACCAGGCGATGTGGCTGTGCGCTGAACCAAGGCAGACCAGGCGATGTGGCTGTGCGCTGAACCGAGGCAGACCAGGCGATGTGGCTGTGCGCTGAACCGAATTCACTTATGCAGTTAATGAGTATTATCATCATACTACCTATGTGCAATACAGATAGCACCAGACACGGCTTACGAACTTTACACAACTAACTCATATGATACACTTTTTAAAAATTATTATACTTTAAGTTCTGGGGTCCATGTGCAGAACGTGCAGGTTTGTTACGTAGGTAAACACGTGCCGTGGTGGTTTGCTGTATCCATCACCCTGTCATCTACATTAGGTATTTCTCCTAATGCTATCCTTCTCCTAGCCCCCTACCCCACTGCTATCCCTTCTCTAGCCCCCCACTCCCAAACAGACCCCAGTGTGTGATGTTCCCCTCCCTTTGTCCATATGTTCTCAATGTTCAACACCCACTTATAAGTGAGAACATGTGGTGTTTGGTTTTCTGTTCTTGTGTCAGTTTGCTGAGAATGATGGTTTCCAGCTTCATCCATGTCCTTACACAGGACATAAATTCATCCTATTTTAAGGCTGCATAGTATTCCATGGTGTATATGTGCCACATTTTCTTTATCCAGTCTATCACTGATGGGCATTTGGGTTGGTTCCAAGTCTTTGCTATTGTGAACAGTGCCGCAGTTAACACACATGTGCATGTGTCTATAATAGAATGACTTATAATCCTTTGGGCATATACCCAGTAATGGGATTGCTGGGTCAAATGGTATTTCCAGATGCAACTACTTACTGGCCTGGAGAAGAGCCCTGCTACGTCTGACTCACGGCACTTCGTGAGCTCAGTGACTGTTCTCTGCAGAAAGGACTCTCCTCTTGTTTGAATGGGTGCTCCTTCCTCACTGAGCGCCCTGGGAAGAGCCAGGCCTGCAGCCTCGGAAGTGCAGGGCTGACCTTGCACCAAGAGGAGGGTCAGGCCTAGTTAATCCATTTCTGGGTGCCAGAGTTACGTGGCTTGATTACTTAAGCCTCGTGCAGCCATTCAGACGCGATTCTGCATTTTCACTTAATTCCCTAATCAGAATGCCAAGGATGCAAATTAAAATTTGCCACCTTGTCTGAGAGGAGTAGGGAGAAATGGACGGGCAATGGGAGGAGAAGTTACTGGCAGAGGTTCGTAAATGTCACTTACCGTATTAAGTGGTGTGAGCAGCTAATTATCAAATGGTTTCAGAGCGAAAAGTGTTTTCTTATAAAACGTGAAAATGAAAAGTACAGTGAAATGATTTAGATTGGGCCAACGTAACTAGTACTTTAAAATAGGAGAATATTAACCCTCCTGTCTTTGTTTTTTATTCAAAAAGCCATGGAGTGTAGGAAGCCCAGTCTTCCTTTGTCCCTGCTTTTAGTGAAATCATAAGCAGCTGCGGCAGTTCGCCAGTCCTGGTGCCTGACTGCAGTAGGAACGTTGAGGTTTATAATGATTTTGTTCTTGCACCCCTGGAATTTTATATTCACTTCTCTTGGGAGCTTGTCTTATTTTGCCTGAAGAGTGATTAGCATTGATTATCAAGCATGCACTGACAGGGTTCAGCTTGGGAGCTAAATTTGTTCCTCCCGTCCCAGCATTCAATATTTATTGAACTCCCAATTCTATTTAGGCGTCGCTGGACACTAGTTTTAGGAACCCAGTCTTTTTCTTTTCCCCAGTTACAGCACTGCCAGTTACTTTTAATCTTTCCATCTTGATGTATAGTCCTGCTTAGGTGCTCCTAGAAGGAAAATGTCACTCAGAATGGCAGGAGCTTAGTATGCGTGGAAATCCGTGATACATTCCCCACTAAAAATAGCGTTTCTCTCTGGCAAATCAGTTATCCCGTTTGTAATTCCAGCATGAGGCTTAGCTGGGAATCTAAATATGCCATTAGGTGACTTGATTGCCACCTCGTCTCAAGCCCCATCAGAGCGTAACTTTGCTCTGTCCTGCTGAGTTATTTTTGACAAAGAGCATTTCCTACGTGTGCGTGGTGGTTTATGTTTTACATTGCTCATTCAACTCTGTCTCTTACAGAGAGGATTTGAGGAAGGAATATGTCCTTCGATTTTTATCAGGCTCCTCGACTGTGGTTATCATGGAGGTGGACCAGGAGGAGGGAGGAACCGGGCAGGACTGGCTGGTCCTGGAAGCTTCTAGGAGCGTGGACTGCTCACCGTGTTTTAGTTCCAGCCTTGCTCTGGACCTGACCACTGCCACACACCTCCCGCCTATGATCTTATTTAATTCTCACAAGTCTCCCGTTTTAGACCAGGAAGCTGAGGTTCGGTCAGGTTTATTGGTTTTGCCCAAGGCCGCAGAGGTAGTAATGGATTCGGCTTAGGCCTGAGTGCTTTCAATCTTTTCTTCTATCGACCGAACAGCTTTTTAAAAAGACTAAGCTTAGATTTTCCAGAGAGTCAAAGAACATAAGACAAAAAAGAAGTTCAGGCGTACGTCTGTTTCCTCTGGTTAGAAAAGCTCAGCACTCCCTTTGGGTGCTCCCAACATTGCCTGTGAGCTGTCTCGAAATTGTGTTTGCACAGAGTAAGTATTCCATGAGTGTCTGTCAAATGGAGGCATTTAAATCTGCGTGTTGAGTAGTTTTTTATGTGCCAACCATACGGTGTATTTTTACAACTACTCTTTTTTCCTTTATAAACACTGCAGAGCAATGATTTTGTTCCTCATCTCCACAAATCGGAAGCCCAGGGAAATAAATGAAACACTTTATTCAAGGTTTGTTCTTTGATTGGGTTGCTGGTTCATGCATGCAGTACTTTAAAAAAAGTAATTAATGGATTGATGAATCCAACAGATTGTTGCTGAGGGCACATTCGGTGCCAAGCACTGTGGTAGACCCAAGACTCTTGTTTGCTGGACACTAACAAGTAAGAGTCTTGGCCTTTGTCCTTATAGAGCATACACAAGCAAAACACAACTCCGTGCACTGGAAACTGTGATTCGACACTGTGGTCAGAGGTGTGAAGGGACACGGGGCTCTGCTAAAGAATCTTGGAGAGGACGCTTCTAAGGGAGGCTTGTTAAGCTGAGAGCTGGTGATGAGCATTTTGGGGTGGGCAGCATGCACAGGAGGTGGGAAGGGATGTGGGCATTTGAGGACCCAAAGGAGGACCAGGCCGGGATGGAAGGTGTAGAGGACGCAGAGGTTGAAGGGTCATCAGAGCCAGTGAGAGGCCCTCCCTACGGCAGCACTGCCTCCATTCTTCACCCTGAACTTCTCATTTTCTTCACAACACTCAAGGCTGCTGGAAACTACCTTATATTTTCAAATGAATGTTGTATTTTGTCCCACCCACCTAGGGAGTAAGTTCTGTGAGTGCAGGGACCTCCTGTCTAGCTCGCTCATTCATCCCCGGTGCCTCCAGCAGTGCCTGGAGCAGTGGGTGCCACTGTACAATGGTGTGCTTGGCGGAAGTCACTTGCAGAGAAGATCTGAGGCTCTAAGGTACTTGACAGCAAAGATTAGGAGGAGGTGCAGCATTCCTCAATCCCTAAGGCAACGCCATGTGTTTGCAGATGTGATGTGGCCCCGCAGCCTACCCAGCTCCTTCCAAGGATGTCCTGTGGCTGCAACACCCTCACAGGGAGATTCTGTTTGAAGGAAGGACCAGGTTTGATATGGGAAATGATGTGGCTACGAGCTAAGGAACACCAAGCGTTGCTGGCAACACCAAGCTGGCATGGAATGGATCCTTCCCTGCAGAAGGAACCATCCCTGCCAACATCTCGACTCTGTACTGCTGGCCTCCAGAACTGTGAGGGTACAAATGTTTGTTGTTCTAAGCTATCCAGCTGAAGGTACATGGCTACACAGGAAAGTACCCCAGGAAACAAGTACACCTCCCTAAGCCACACCCTGTGAAGCAGAACCTGAGAGCAGGCCTGGGGAGCTGCATTTTACATCCTCAGATTGTTCTGGTCATTCTGATGCTTAATAGTTTCAGAACTTCTGCAGGAGAGCAGAGTACCCCAATGATGTATCCTCTACTTGGTTCTGAGTTCACAAGAATCCTCATCTAAGGCTGCAGACCTTCCGTGCCAGCTCTCCCTCCTCAGGGTTTTTATCTGCTGCAGCTCTGAGCCCTCACCGGCTGGAGGATGCCCCTGAAGACCTTCGCTTCCCACCCGGCTGCCTATTGTTTGCATGAACCGACACCTTCGTCTCGGCTTCTGGCCTCCGAGCTGTGAGGGGACACATTTCTAGTGGTTGAAGCC